AAGGAATCAGAAGTAAAAACTTCTTTCTTTGACTACTTGAGCAGATAGACAAGAAGTGCATCTTCCTTGGCTGATATGGATAATTAGATGAGATGTGACAAATTCTCTTGAGCTAAACTCAAATTTTTCATAAAATCTACCCTTACTTATTCCAATAGTGCTTAGTAGAATTCTAAATAATGATTTATAATGGTATTAATATCAGCAGCTCTCCTGAAAACAACTCTAAGGCTAATGTAAAATATTATAATTGTCATTACAATGTTCATAACCTCATAGTATATGTGACCCCTATTTTGACACATAGTTAAATGTCTGTGTAGGGGACTTAAAAGGGAGTGTTCAATATGGAGGAAGATAGCCCATAAATGTTTACAAGAAAAGAGGAAGAAAAATAAATACCTAGAAATTCACCTTCCCACTCAGATGACTGACCTTCAAAAGGAAACACCGAGGGCATAGAAGAATTTAAGTGGTCCCAGCAGAGTTTAGAGAAAAGTTTCTTCTTAGTCTGTGAAGTAGAGCCCAAGGCTTCAAACTTCTGTCCTTGGCTTTCAGGTATCGTCCCAGTAGAGTTTTGTAATATTACAACTTTTTAAAGCCAAAAGGTGAGAAAGAAAATCGTATATTTTTAATGTTATTTTTTTCCTTATCTTTGTAATGATCTCCCTGAGAAGGGGAATGTAAATTCATGATGCCCTTTAAGTGCAAAATTTAACATTTATTGTAACTGAGGAATCCCATTTGTCTTACATCCAATGCCATTTCCTATAGAAATGTGAAAGGGTTGGTTGCTCCCAGACAAGAAGAATGGAAAATAGATCTCACAGATGTGCTGTCACCTCTCTCTTGCTACCAGACTATGCTTGTACAAAGGGCTAGTCAGACCCTCTAGCATGTCTTTTAACCTGAGGACTGTGCTAACCATTCTGACCTGACAGGAGAGGGCCATCACTTAGGGCTGCCCCTTTTCATTCTATAACTCTCAAGGAAGAAAAGATAAATCTAGTGTTGAAGTGAGGGTGTATTTGCATATATTTAAAATTATTCATAGCTGGGAGGCAAATGAAAAGAACAATGGAGGAATACTTGTATTTCTTTTTGTTTTTAATGAGTGCAGTCTATGGAATTCTTATGCCTATAATACCTTTTTTGCTCATTCTCCTTTGCTGCCTCTTTCTCAGCTTTTCCAAACTCTCAATTTTGCAATGCTTTGGGCCTCGATGTTCTCCTGTTTATTCTCCTATCCCCCTTAGCATTTTCTGGCTTGAAAGACCTTTAAGGTAACAATTTTCAAGTTTTTGTTTAGAGCACAGACCTCTTTTCTCAATGCTAACCCTCCAACTAATGTGGCCACCTGCATGTCTAATTGACATTTCAACTTAACACTTCCAAAATGGAAGACCTGATTACCCCTCAAATCAGGTCTTTTTCCATATTTACTCATATACTCAAGTCAGTAAATGGTGTCTACATTCTTTTTGTTATTCAGGTCAAAAATCTTGAGGTCATCTTGACTTTTTTCTCTTTTACCTACATCCAATTCATCAGAAAATCCAATTGGTTGTATTTCAAATATATGGAGAATCATTCCTCCATTTCCATTACCCTGGTCTAAGCCCAAAATCTACTCTAGGCTGGAAGTAGTCTCCATGGCAACCACCTCTAACAAGTCTCTCTTTTTATAATAATACTAGAGGCCCAGTGCACCAATCTGTGGTAGGGTCACTCAGCATAGCCTGTAGGGATTAGGCCGAAACCAGCAGTCCAATGCTGCCTGCTGCTTCTGCTCATCTCATCCCAATTGTGCCTGCTGCCACCTCCACTTGGTAGGCTCACTGCCACTCTGCTGCAGTCTCCAGGCTGCGGTGGCAGCCATGTGCCCTGTGTCTGGCACCCATTGGTCAGCTGAGCTACACTCCTGCTGTGGGAGTGTGCTGACCCAAGGAGCAGCTCCTGTAATGGGCATCTGCCCCCTCATGCTCAGTGCACATCATAGCAACCGGTTGTTTGGTCATTCAGTCACTTAGGCTTTTATACATATAGATAATAACTACAATACACTGAATAATTGCAAATCATGAAGCCATGCAAATCATTCCCATCACATATTATGGATAGAAAACTGAGGATCAGAAATGTCACTAGTTTGTGATCCAGATTTTCTGTAACACAGCTCCAATTTGAACAGACAGAGCAGACTCCAAAAACAATTTTACATAATATTCCACTTCTGTTGTCTCACCCAGAGGATTGTCTTTTGATGGGAATCTGGAACCATGTAGGAGAGGATAAAGCCACTGTGGTAGGTGTATTAGATATGGAAGTTTTGGGTCTTGTCATATCATAGCATTAAAGTTATCATTTAAATGCTTTTCTACTTAGTCTACAACTCACACCAGAACAAAAGCTCATTTAAAAAAAATTCAGAAATTATCTTTTGGAGTATGTATGAATATAGCCAAAGAAAAAATATCATAAGAATGAGCTGAAACTAACAGATATAATATTACAGAAAAGATTATATCTGAGATTTATTAAACTTGTATTGAGCTGATACTTAAAAAAATAAGATAGCAAGCCAAATGGATTGAGACATACATGTAAAAAAAAAAAAATTCCTAAAAGTCTGAAAAGGAAGGTACAATAAAATAGGTAAGAAAAAAATAATGACCCCCTTCCCGAGAAAAACTACATTGTGAAACAAAATCCCTTGAATACAGCTTTTGAGTAATGATTTTTTTCACTGGTTTTTCCTTAGACATAATTCAATAATTTCAAATAGAGTATTTGAGAGCTCTCCACATATATTGTACTATTGTTTTTTTTAATAATTTATAATGCATAACATTTATCATTACTGTAAAAACATGTTTTAAGAGTCTTTCATCATTCATATTTCTTTTCATTCATCCATTCTTATCAAATAAAATAATGTAAATTACCAAGAGGAAATCTTCCTATACTACCAAATATCTTACAATAATAATTTGGAGAACACAGTCTGACCTAGAACGACTACATTCAACATTTTCCTTTCTATCACCACATATGTGTCTGTGTTGTTCTCACAAATAACCAAATATTGTCCTGTCCAGAGGGGTGGGGCAGGGTGTTCCTGCTGAAGACTGCTCTGTGTAGGAAGAGAAAAGACTGAGGTTACAGGCCCTCCAAAGGAATTCACTTAAGCTTCATACCAGATTTGAGAAGGCTGGTTTTACCTGCCTAAAGTTGGAACACGCAAGACATCATTCAAGCAATCCCTAGGCTGGGGATACAAGTTCTACCTTGTGATTCCAGTGTAGCTTTGACACATTCTTCTCTTAGCAACCGCCCACCTTACAGTGTGAAGCATTGAGACACACCTCATTGTGTGGATAAGGCCCCACAGAGGTCAATTCTACTCTTCCAAAGTTTATGATTTAATCCCAGATTTACCTTCCCTTATGAATAAATGAAAAAGAGAGGGGTGGGGGAAGGAAGAAGAAGGAGGAGGAGAGGAGGAATAGGAAAGAAGGAAAGGAAGGAGGGAGGGAAGGAGAGAGAGAGGAAGTTTCTTGACCTTGAAGATATTGAACCTCCAGTGTCAGGAAATTTGGAAGGCATATTCTCCAGGGTACTTATTTTATTTCTGGTAGTAAATAAAACCCTTAGGGAAGGTTATTAATTTATTTGTTCTAATTATACTATTTCATACTCTAGTGGCCTGAAAAAGTTAATTTACCATTTGAATAGCATGAATGATAAATACTTACACCAACTTTTGGCACTTTACAATACTGAATAAAGATTTGTTTTTTTTGTGTGTGTGTGTGTTTGTTTGTTTTTTAACTTAGGTGTGCTTTATTGTTCACTAGTGTCAATGGAAAATAAAAATAAAATAATGCTCTGTTGGAGAACAGCATGGCTATTGCCGGCTAGGGTGTCATCGCAGTGTGAAAAATGCATAGGGTCCTGATCCTCTGGGAAGGAGAGAATATCAGAAAGCAAGAGGAAGGAGATGGTGCCAAATCCTAGGCTTAGTGTGCTCCTCTCCTTTTATCTGGGTTCATTAATAGTCTATCCCATAACCTCTCTATCAAGACTTTATAGACTGCTACGTGGAGGCTAGCATGGGATTCTGAAAATTAACATTTTTGTTGATTTTTGTTCCTCTGGACATATGGGTTGCTTGGGGCACTAAAATGGTGGGGGGGGAAATGCATCATAATTTGTATAATTTAAACAGTGGGGCAGAAGGGCCAGACCTCTGAACTGCATTTCATATGTAAATGCAGCTTACAGATGGGCCTTTTGGATGTCCAGGAAATAGAAGTTCTCTACTGAGGAGGCATGCTTCCTTCCACACACTGATCTTGCAAGAGGAATATACATCAGACTGAACACAGCTGTACCCTTTAGTTATTTTGGAGGGAAATTTATTAATCTCAAAAGGTAATTCTGCTTGCTGCTTTCTGTCTTTGAAAGCTACGAGGATGCCTTTGTGTTTCAGAAAATGCTTGGACCAGATTCTTCTTCTCCCTAAAAGAGGAGGCGTGATGAAATAGAAACAGGCAAAAACAAAAAACAAAAAAACATTCTTTTTATTTTTGCAGATCCGATAGAGCGCACAAATTAAATAAGTAAAAGTACAACGGATAAGTGAATAAATAAAGACATAAATGACATTTCTAAAGGAGTCCAAACTCCCAGATAGCCAACAAAGGATACATGCAAATAGAGGGCTCGTAAGTTGTCAAATGCCTGAGGTTAACCACAGTAGTGCTTGGCTCCAGTAACCTCCAAGAGACTAGCAATTGGCTGGGGGAAAGTTAGAATTCCAGAGCACATGTGAACCTCTGCTTCTCCCAGAGAGTTGAGGGCAGGCTTCTCCCTGGGCTGCCTGCAGGCCTTGCAGGACAGACCCATCTGACTCCCCTGCGGTGCATTCCCTCCCTGCTCCCCGGCTACCTGTTTACTCCCCCAGGCGGAGGGACAGGAACAACCCAGCAGGTGGAGCGGCTGAGCTGGCCCCAGGGCAGCCCCGAGATGAATTTACGTGTGGGTGTGGGGCAATTTGGGTGGGAACGACCTGGAGGCTACCACCTCGCCTTCCTGCGCCTCGCTGCTGGTGGGGTGTGTGCAGAAAGAGCAGAAATAAATAGGAGGCTCCCTCCTCCCAGCGACACTCAGGGATCCGGAGGCCGCCGCCCTGGGTGTTTGCCTGCCCTGTAGCCAGGGTTCCAGCCGGAGGAGTAGTTTCGTTTCCTTCTGGCTCCCAGGATTAGTTGCCAGGCACCTCCTTGGACGCCCGTGTGGCCTGGAAAAAAGGCTCAGAAGGAGGCGGGAGGCTCGTCCAGGGGCTGCCCGCCCCGCAGCGCGGGTTTGATGGACCTGACCGCCCCGGGCAGCGGCGCGGGCTCCCTGCCGCTGCTCCTGGCCCTGGGTAAGTGGCCGCACCGGGTGCAGGAGACCAGGAGGGGAGCTGGGGTTGAGTCACAGGGAGAGCGACCTCTGATCGGAGCTGGCACCTGGACCCAGGGAGCTGTGGGGCTGACAGGGGCAGGTCAGGGAACTTGGACCGCTGGGAGAGTGCGACTTTTGAAGGGGCTGGCGATGGGGCACCTGCTGGGGCTGCCCCTGGGCGCGCAGGGCTGCGAGAGGGCGGGAGGGACCCGGGGCCCAGCGGCTTGTGCTGCAGCTGTGAGCACAGAGCGCAGGACCAGGCAGGCTGCCCTCAAAACCTAGGGGGGCCCGGTGAGGGCACCGTGGTCATGAGTGAGAATTGGTGGGAGGAAAAGCAGGAGCATGGAAGACGAAGAGAAAGATATCCTGGGAGTAGTTGGAAAGAGAATTCCTTGGCTTAAGATGTGGGTTGGCAGTGCAGGACAAGGTGGGTGGGTCTTTGCTTGGTGTGTGTGTGTGCCAGAGGTGAGAGGGAGATTACCCCTGGAGAGACTGGAGCTGGCCCAGTCAGCTCCAGTTGAATTCTTACACCTGTTTCTTGCTGGGGCAGCTGGGGGAGCTGTAGGAGAAAAGACAACTTCTGAGACCAGAATCAGATTGCTGATATAGGGAAGCAAAGGAAAAGGAAATGCTAGACGGGGATGCGTGTTCTAAGGCGCTGTTAGGGTATTTCACCGCTGAGTGACCATCATAGAGTGTACTCACACTAACTTAGAAGGTATAGCCTAATGCACACCCGGGCAAGAAGGTATAGTCTCGTCCTCCTAGGTCCCAAGCCTATACAACGTGTAACTGTACAAAGCAACATGAAATTAAATCAAGCACAAGAGAAAGCCATGCAATCAGGGCACTTGGTAAACACCAGATGTATGATACCGCTGCTAGTGTAACAAAGCATACTCTTTTATAGGACACCTGTTTTTAAGGAGTAGAATAGAAAGATGCAGTCTGAAATAACAATAAAAAATGCAGCATAGGTAATACATAAACTAGTAACAGTCACTTATCATCATCAAGTGATATGTACTGCACATAACTGTATATGCTATACTTTTATAAGACTGGCAGCAGACTAGGAATGCTTATGTCAGCATCACCATGCACCCATGAGTAATGTGTTGCTCTATGACATCATGATGACTACAAAGTCATTGGCTGATAGGAATTTTTCAGCTTCATGATAGTCTTTGGGGACCAACAATCCTATAGGTGGTCCATCATTGGCCGATCCTCCTGAGGCAGCATGTGACTGTATATTCTTTATTTTAAGGAGAAATTGCAGGAGGGAAAAGTTTTCTTCATTTTGAAGGTTTAATTGGAGTTGTTAGGTTAAGGACCACTGGGTGTGGTCCAGTAGTGTGAGGGAAGAGAGGGAGAGGCAGGTGGGCGGAGTTGCAGGATTCCCAGAAACCTCTGGAGGCTGTCCCCACCCCCTTGGGAGTTGTGCTGGCAGACAGGGACGTGGAACTGCAGGTGCAGGTGTGTGTGTGTGTGTGTGTGTGTGTGTGTGTGTGTGTGTAAGCAGCTGGAGGCCTGGCTATCTTCGCCCTCCCATGCGATAAGGTAGCAGGAAACCCCTACCACTTCAGGGCATCCCATCCACATCACGGTCATTTTGAGGGGAAGTGGAGGGAAGAAAAACTAGTATTTTGCAGGCTTAGCTGTGATGAGGGGCAGGGACTCCTGGGATTGGGGCATTTATGTGGGAGAGAAGAGTTCCAGCTGAAGCGTCTACAGCCTAGGAAGGGCTGTGATTTCTCTACGGAGGGAAAAGAAATGGAAACTTTCATTTGGCTGTGTCCTGGGAGTAAGAGAGGTGGCTGAAAAGGTTTGTGATCTTGTCTTTAGTGGACAGACCATGGTTAGAGAGAAGGAACTGATTTAACAAATCCTGCAGAGAAGGAAGAAGGCAGGAACAAGTTAGTGGTGGAGTGATGTGGAGCCTCCGAGAAGAGCAGTGGCTCCAAGAGTTATGCCCAGAACCAGTGCTGATGCTATACCAGTTCTGGATGAAGGTGGAACTTTCTCCTTACAACTCATATGGACTGTCCAACACCCACAGCATTTACTGAGATTCGGCTACAGTCAGCAAGATGCTAGCACATGTGTCAAACACAAGGCCCGCGGGCCAAATCCGTCCTGCCAGGCCTTGCAATGTGGCCCGCACCGCACTGTCATCACTGCACTCCGCTGCGTTTCCATCACAATGACAGTTTATGACTGTTCAGTAAACCATTCGGCCCGCGATTTAGGCTGGATTTTAGATTTTGGCCCCTTCTCTGATTGAGTTCGACACCCCTATGCTAGAGTATATGGAAATGGGAGTGGGATGAGGGCTCAAGAAACTCCAAGATGTAATTTCTAAGGCATGATTGCTGCTCTAAAAGATTAAGTTACATTGAATTGGGGATACAAGACTAACAGATATGACACAATAAGAGAAAAATTCATTAAACCGGGAAGGAAGAGCTACCTCTATCAACGGTGAAGGGTGGGGGAATGGGGAACAGCTGTGTGGAGGACACGAGTGGGTGCCTTGAAGCTTGGGTAGGATTTGAAATAGTAGAAAAAGGACGCCAATGATATACAAGGGCTGGTGATGGGAATAAGATTGTTTTACTGAGAGACAGTCAGTCAGCATATCAGAAAGTAGAATTTACGAGAGACAGATGGATTATAAAGAGCCAAAAAAAGTTACATTCAAATATTTGGACATGAATCACTAAACAGTTAAACACACACCATCATGGGTCTTGAATACGGAATGATATAATGCAAACAAAGATTCAAAGAGGTAAATCGGTCAGTGGGGTGCAGTGTGGGAGCGGGGTAGGGGAGAGGTGCTGGAGGCCAGGGTCCTGATTGTCTCACAGCTGTGGTCCAGGCATGAGCTAATTCTGGCCTTAAATTAGGATGATGTGCCTGGCGAAATGTTATGATAGAAGTTGTTATTCCAGGTAATGGACATTCTTCCCCCTTCACTATCACACGGTGCTTTATCTTTTTCCTCAAAACCTATTAAAAAGCAGAAAAACCCTAATCCAGTGTTATTGTGTACTCGGAGTAACCTAAATGTACAACTGTCCTGTTGAATATTTGACTTAGGGAATTGAACTGGATCTTTAGATCACCTAAAAGCTCCACTGGCTGCAAAATGCCAAAGAATGTCATTTGTTGGCATCAGTGTTTCCGGAATGTGAGCAATGTACTAGTACTGTGTGATCCACTAGCCAGTGTGTGTGTGTGTGTGTGTGTGTGGCAGTGAAAAGTACCTTGAGAACTGCAATGAGCAGGCACAAGACCTGGTTTCTACTCTGATATTCTGTGACTCGGAGATGCCTGCAAGTTATAAATTTCTGGGCCTTGTTTCTCTCATTTGCAAAATGAAGCAGTTTCTTTAGATGAAAGTAAAGTTCTTACCAACCTGACATTGTAGTGATCTGTAACCAACATTTCTATTGGGAAATTTAAGAGAAAATCTTTTTACAATATCACTTAACTTCCATTTTCTATGTAATGAGATCTCTGTTTTAGGCAAACGTTATACAGAGATAATCATAGATGTTTGATTCTTTGAAAAGTATGGTAAAGGGGCAATAACTTTCTTTAAAGTAGGTTTTTTATCTTAAAGAAATTGAGTCATTCTCTGTAATTTTTTTTTTTTAGTTTCTTCCTCAAATCCACTTGCTATATAACACTAGCACTGAAATTATAACCAATGAAAAAGGGGGGAAACTTTTCTTTTTAAAAAAGAGTGTGTTTTAAGGTAAAAAATATGCTCTCATTAAAATCTAGAGTTGCAAGTTCTTATTTAAATCTAGAAAACATAAATGTATTCATGATTGTAATATCTAGCTTTGAAGTTATAAAGCAGAAAATGGCAGCAGGTAAAATTCCCATTGTAAAAATGATGTAAATGAAGCCCCAAACACCAAAGATTTTAGGATTTGCCTCTTCAGACGTGATTTTGACTTAAAAGAGCATCAAGTTTTTGCATGTGTTTTTTCTCTTCAAAAACCTCATGTTTCATAGGCCACACTTGCATATTAACAACTGTTACAAATCAGTTTTTGCCATTGCATGATGCTCTTTCGTGGTGTGGAAAGGCCCAAATAATTCTGGGAGAGCCCAATACTGCAGGCATGCTGAAGCTTGGCCTGCCAATGCCTGCGCCCAAATGGAAGATGCAAAGGACAGAGGATACTTATGTCTCTCCCAGGGGCGCAAGCCTCTGGCACTGCCTCATCTCTGTGGAGGTTATTCACCCCAGTACTCCTGTGCCCCTTAAGTCCACAGAGAGCCTGGAGGGAAAACCTCATCTTGTTTTTTCTCACCGTTTCATTGTAGTCAGCTCATGCCAGGATATAGACATGAATATCCATAAACCATGCTCGTAAGCATCTCCCTAAGGATCAGTGTCTTTCCAGGAGGGGCCAGACAAGCCAGAATCAGGGCTGCATGCAGTTTAGGCTGAAGCCATGATCGTGATGCACTTCCAAATTGCTCTGACGGATCCCTGGGTCCACAAAGAATCTGAAGCCCAGTCAGGAGTACTTCAGACTACAACTTAAGAGGAAAGCAATTTGCTTGAAATGGGTATGCTTCATACTGTAATGGCTGCTAGCTTTCCCAGGCATATTTGTATCTTGAAAAGAGAATCTTGGTAGCTCAAATGAATTTCTAATTGCTAAAATTCAAAGAAATAAGATAACTTTTAGATGGTTGACAGATATGGGGCATTTAATATTAGGTCACATCAATTAGGTAATAACCTACTTCGCTTATCAGCAGGGCTAAGTCAAATAGTCATGAAATACTTTTACTTATTCTTCACATTGTTTTTGAGAATATGTACTATATTATTTATCTGACCTATAGATTAGAAACATTAATTCCAAAACAGTGACAAAAATTGAACAATGTTTGTGTTCAGCTTTATTGCCTTATTTCAATTTTACTGAGTTGGTTGAGTTACTAATG